CCAACAGTGGCATAAGAGAAGTAAGAATAAATAAAACTCTTTAGAAAAAAAGAAAAGAATTGATCAGGTGACCACTTAGCTAATATTAAAGTTACTGGGCTACTCAATCAAAACCCTGCTTTAATAATCTCAGATTTCATGCTTATACTAATTATAAACTGATTGTTATGAAAGAATAATTTTAAAAAGTTATGACAGTATTAGCTAAGGGTTTCAACAATAGCACTCCTGGTTGAGAAGTTCATGAAGCTGGGACTAGGAACAGAAGCCAGAAAGTTATGTATGCCAAATCTTTATTGAGTGCAAGGAACATTTTGTTAGAACTGCTACCAAAGTGTGAATACTTTGATTAGATCAAAAAACAAGTAGTAAATTGACTTCTATGCCCTTTCTAGGTTCCATCTTAGGATAAATGACAGTGCAGCTGGAAGGATCAAGGAATCAAGAGACCTGCCAGTGGATCGATGCTGAGCGCTTTGAGCTACAATTGGCTGACTTGATTTGCCCTCACTCTATCCAAGGAGGTAAAAAAAAAAAGTGGATGCTGTTCCGCCATACTTTTGCTTGCTGTAATACGGTAGCAGCCTCTCTCCATGTCAACTCCCTCTCTAACCAGAGGTGATTTTATTACAGATATTTAATTATGGAAAATGGAACTGTTTAATTTAGTTCCACCCAGATATATGGAACAAAATAAATGGATGAAAAGATGAAGTTAAACATGCCAGGCTGAAAGAAAGTGTAGTGCTTTGGGGTGGGGTGGCACTTTTTCCTGCGTGCTGGTTCAGCTATCCTTTGTCCTGAAAAAGGAAAGGCTATCGGAATAGATTGGACTGGAATTCAGATATTTATTCTGGGACAGAAGTGAAAGCAGCTCCTGCAATTCATATCACAAATAGATACACCCAAGCTTTATTTAAATGATTGTGATGCCCTTGTGTCCAAATTTTGTACACATGGCTACTTTAATTTTAATTATCAAGGTGGTTATTACAGATAGTCCTTGTGCTATGAGAGCAATTGGTACAGTCATAAAGCATGACATCACATGACCACATTATTTAGAGAGAAAAATCCCAGCAGTCTCATTTGCCATTGTAACTCTGGATCATGTGGGTCATTAAGTGAAGCCCTCACGACCTCTGTGAAGGAGGAAACGGGTCAGGCACAGAAGAGATTGTCAATAGAAATCACTTGTTTCTTCCCCTCCCTCTGCAGAGTGGAGGAACTGGAGAGTAAGGGACTACAAGAGAATAGACAGGCACAGATTACAAGAGAATGGAGAATACACCTGGCTGTTTGCATAGCTTGTTCACTTGAGTGCCAGTGCACTGCTTCCAATGAATATTCCTAATTGTGTGCCTGCTTATTCTCTTGAAATCTCTTCCTCTCCAATGTATGTAAATGCAAACATTAATTCCCTTCTTGCTAATTATCCCAGCATCAAAGTGAGCATTCCAAAGAGTTGGGGGAGTGGGAAAAGGAAAACATAGTCATAGTCATATGACTTCTCATTTAGTGGCTGCTTTGCTTAATGACAAAACTGCCATTCTCAATTGTGGTCACTAAACAAGGATTACCTGTATAACCAAATATTAGGCTGATGGGATAGTTACTATTTAGACCAAAAGATGTCAACTTTTCAGTGGTTATTTAAATAAATTCAGTGAGCTGACATTTGGAAGCTCAAGTGTCTAATGAGCTTCATTTCTAGCAGTTGAAGTACTCTATTTCTTAGTTTCCTAAACAGAAAATGTAGGATACACAGGCTGCTAGGATACACAGACTGCTATTCAATTATTGATTAAAATGTATTGGATGCATTACCTCAGTGTAGGTGCTAGGGGTATGCATTACCAACTGAAAAGAGTAAGTGGATTTTGTTTGTCCCATGGAAAGCTCTGGAGAGAGACTAGTGTGATATAATATTGCAGAATGGCATATTGCTAGAACTGGAGAAGATGGCAGGTTAAAAATGGAGTTGAAATCTGCAGTCCTGTTTATAGTAATTAATTCCAAATTTTGATTGGGTAAATGGATTGTGTTTTGTAAATAGATTTTATGTTGTGAATTTCATTGGGGATATGCAGTCGGAAGTTTGGAGCAGTTAAGCAGAACTGATTTTTTTTAACACAACGAAAGGAACACTGGAATTTACAAAACATTTATACACAACAGTATATAGAAATATGTGCTCTGGGGAGCCATCAGATTCTTGCTGCAGGAAGAAGTATATTTCCCTTACTAGTGAGGTCCTGCTCAGACCTTTTCAGTAACTGCTGATAGCTTTGGTTGCACTGAAAGCTGCTCTTTGGGATGGTCATAGTCATAGTATTTCCCAGCTTCTCTATTTGGAAGCATGTAAAAAGATATAAGTAGATACAAATCTTCAGACAAAATTCATACAATTTCTTGATGTTTGTGGGGGGAAACATGATTGATGCCATCTCTAGCATTTTGATTTGCAAAAGGCTACAAGAATTCAAAATGCTTAAGACAAATAGCAATAGCACTTAGACTTATATACCACTTCACAGTGCTTTACAGCCTTCTCTAAGCGATTTACAGAGTCAGCACATTGCTCCCAACAATCTGGGTCCTTATTTTACCGACCTCGGAAGGGTGGAAGGCTGAGTCAACCTTGAGCCGGTGAGGATCAAACTGCCAAACTGCTGGCAATCGGCAGTCAGCAGAATTAGCCTCAATACTGTATTCTAACAACTACGCCACCAGGGCTTACATCATGGGTAACAATAATTTTACCATATAACTTTTAAATGTTTTGGAGTTCCAGGTACTTGTCCATTTATTACTATAATAATATTATACTATAGTATACTATTGTTACTATAAATAATAATTGGTGCATCTTTCCACCAATCCCTTTCAGCTCATTAGAACTATTATCTGGTGAGGCCAGCTAGCCACTGATTCAGTCAATAAGAGCCTTGCGTGAATTTTCAGAGCTTGCCAAAGAGACTGGGAGTATGCTGAATTATCTAAATTTAATTCTAACATTTGCTTCGTTTTATTCTTCTTTTTCTTTTAATACATTGTATTGTTTTGATGCAATGATATTTATACAGTATTAATAGAAAATTATTGATGTTCTATTGTTTAGATAACTATTGGAAATAAAGAAAGGAAGAGAAATATTTTATCAGTATTCATTATAGTTTAGGATGTCAATATTATAAGCATAAGTTTATTTGATTTTTTTTCATCCAGAATTAAATATACCAGGGGAATGTGTGTGTGTCTGTTTGTCTGTGTCTATGTGTAAAGCATGTGTTAAAATGCCCCCCCCCCAAAAAAAAAGAAAGAAAAAGGAAAAAGTGGGGGTTGGAGTTTCTAACTTCTCTCTTTTTATACATCTGCTAATTTACATGGTAGAAATGTAGGTCCTCTTAGAAACCAGACTGTAAGTGATGCTGCATGATGTATTGTATATATGAGAACATTCTTGCTTAAATTATTTAGCATTCTTCCTTAAGTCTTCATATTGTTGGAATTGTATCTTTCATCCAGGGTTGGGTAAAATTCATTCTTGTTGGTTTCTCTTCAGATCATATAAATCTTTCACCTTTTACTCTGATTTATTCTTATAAAATGACTTCAATCTGTGAGGGGAACTGTCTAGCAAAACTAAAAGACCAAGCTAGCACAGAGCTCAAGGAACACGTATACTGGAATTTTTTCTAAGTATTCTGAGTCATCTTCCCTTACATAATGAGAGTAAACATATACTTCCCCAACGCAATATTATTGCAATCCATATCTAATCAGATTTTTCCCCTACTTTGTCTCATCGTTTTTGCTTTTTTGTAGTATTTTGTTGCTGAAGACATCTGAAAATCCTCAAACTTTGCATTGTTTTTTTTTGGGTGGGTAGATGGATCTTTGAATCTCTTTAATAATGATCATGAATGTTGCACAATTTAATTTCTGCCAGTGCTTTAAAAACACCACTATAAGGACTAAGTAGCACTGTGATGGAATTTACTGCCTAGTTCTATGAGAATTTCAAATGCTGCTCTGATATCTTTGTAAGAAGGCAAGGAAAATATGGATGTAACCAACTTTAAATGAGATCAACTGATCTTGAAAATGCTATCTCCAAATATTTGTCCTTGTTTGTCCCTTTTCCACAAAATCTATTTCAGCCTGTCAGCAGTAGGTTGCCCTAGGTAGAATCTGGAGAGAGTTGCAAAATGAGCATCAGAATGCATGCGGCATAACAATAGTTTCGAAGAAGCATGAGATCAAACATGTCTTTGTTTTCAAAATGAAATAGTTAGGCATGATTTCAAGATAACAGAAGAAGAAAAAGATATTTATATTTAGTGGCTACTTCACTCCAAATGATTCTGAGCAATTAAAATACAATAAAACAGAGATCCCCGGGCCGTGGACCGGTACCGGGCCGCAGCCTGCCAGAAACCGGGCCGCGCAAACAAGTGAAGCCCAATCCATGGGATGCAGGCAGTACATGAAACCACACCCCCTCCAGTCCGTGAAAACACCTCTCCCCACGGAACCAGTCCCCGGTGCCTAAAAGGTTGGGGGCCTCTGCAATAAAAGAAAGACAAGTCATAAGCATACAGAAGACAAAACAACAAAGCATCCTCAGAGGTCCAACCACCAAGGCCTATGAGAAGAACCATTTTTTTTTAACTGATACTCGCTGAACATCCTTATGGGCGGCTGTAGACATTAAATCAATCAAGGTTAGAGTCCTATGGCTCTCGGGGGAATGCTGTTCCAAAGAGTAGCCAGGAGAGAAGCACAGAAAACCTCAGAAAGCCAGATATGCTCTTATTCAAGAGTTTGGTGAGGGCACCTGCTCTGCCTAAGTTGCTTCAATGTCCCTTAAAGTTAATTGTAAGGTTGTGGAAGAACATCCTCATCTTTTTTTTAAGAGATTTGTGTCTGGGTTTAGGGATGAGATAAATATTTATCTCATAAATAAAACTTGATTTCTTTCTTTTTTTTCCTTTGCAGTATCTTCATCTTGAACAATGGTAAGTTATTTTCATTGCATCTCTTCTTTTCCTGCCTTTTCTGGCTTTTGTATGTGTTGCTGTTTCATGCATGCACACACAGAGACATATATTCTTAAAGACAATATGTGTGCATATTTTTAAGAATCTTTTAAGAATTGTTAAGAATATCCCATTTGAGATTATTTCTGAAATGAAGATTTGTTAACAAGTAGAAACTGATTTCTAATAGGTGGTGGCTGGTATCTTCTTCCTTTTTGCAATGGAGATTGTTCTCATCTTGAGTCCTCTATGGACCAGCAGCTGAGACAGGGTAAAGCTCTCAAAATAAGTATCTCTCTGACCTTGGATGGATTCTAAAGTGCATCTCTTTGCCTTTTTCTTGGCATATTTTTCAATACTTTGACTGCAGCTGTCTCTGGACCAGATCCACACTGAACCACCCCAAACACCCAAGGAATTGGATTGGGTAGAACAGAGCTTTCTTCCCCCAATGAGTCCGTTGCGCAGTGCCCGGCACCGAGATACACTCCTGGATAGCAAAATTAGCCCTGAGGATGCACAAGCTAAGGCCTGGACTGCCTATTACTATGACTTGTTGCAGTGCAGCTTACAGCAGCAAGGGCTCCCAGAAACCATTGATCTCACCAAGGAGCCCCGATCAGGTGGGTGTCACATCATATTGGTCACATGTAGAATACTGATTGGCTTAATGTACACATAATACAAAGTCAAATGTTTTTAACCATAATTTATTGAATAATTATATATTTAGTCGCCTGATTTGTGCATACGTTTAAACCATAATGGCTTATCCTTATGTTTGGAATCGGGATGTAAAATACAAACCTAAAAAAGATAAAGACTCCTTGAACGAAGTTGATGGCTCATGAATGTATTCATGTAGCTTTCTGGACAATGATAGGGGATTTTAAAAAATCATTTACCAGTTTAGTCTATAAAAATACCTCAGTCCAAGTACTAACCATGTCCAACCTATTTAGCTTTTTTTTAAAGTTCAACTCTGATGGGCTGCCACCTATGAAGAAAAATACAGAGCTTTTGTGCCTGAAAGCTGATGGAATGAATAGAATAAAAGGAAACATATAGGATAATAATCTGTCATCCTGTGATGGAGTAATCCTTGTATTTGAGCACTTCAACTGCCTCTATACCTGTAAAAAGATATTTACAGAGATTCTGCCTTCAGGACCTAGGAAATGACCAGATTGCAAAGAAAGAAAAAAATGAGGCTTCCAGGTAAATGAACCACTGATTTTGTTCTTGTCTTATTTAGGATTTGGACCCTCAGATATAACCATGTGTGTCTTGGGTTCCCCTGCTTCATATCTGTCAGTGCTTCTGGAAGGTGGCAGCCAGTGTCCTGGTAAGTTCTTAAACTAGCATTTTGCTTGAGCTTAGCCTATTCTTAAGGTTTGCTCAGAAGTGCTAAGCTACTGATGACCCGTATGCTCTTCCACTTGATAAATTATATGTGAAAACTCACTACTATCAATTAATCCTCAAAATTTTGTTTCACCCCAAACATATTGTTACAAATGAGCTATGTCAGTGCTCTTCAAGCTAGTGTCTTCCCATATGCCAGAAGTGCCAGAAGATAGATGCCCTTTCCTTGCCAAGGATGCCTTTGAAAATCAGCTGTGATTTTCTAAGATGATAAAAGGTAGCATCCTCTTAATCATATGATAATTCTGATTCTGAAGATGCTAATCATTTTTTTTCTTTTTCTGTTCAATCATGTCATATTTCTTGGAAACTGCCTGAAAAGAAGGATTAAGTGGAAGAGTTTTTGAACAGCAGTGACAATTAAACTAGATATTGGGAAACACTATTTGTGAAGAGCTGCCTGAATCCTCTTTGTCTTAATTTGTTTCTGATTAGATCTTTTTACTATTTCTTTGTTTCAGGAGTAGAGGCTAAAATCAGATTTGGTCACCATTTTGAATGGTTAAGGAATTCAAAGTTGTATATTAAACTGGAACAGTTTTTGGTGTTCCAATTTAGAGGGTTAAATCTGTTTTCTAAGGAAAGCAAGGCAATTCCTAACTGCAAGGATAACACAAAGAACCAGCTCTTTCTTATCCCCCTTCAACATTTTTGGGGTCCATCAGTTTGAGAAAAAAACCAGTTTGTCTTCTCCTTCCATGATAGTCCAAGCAGCACAACTAATGATCAGTGCTGATGAGAGCTGAAGTCCAATTAGGAACGAGGGCTACAATTTCCCATTCTTTGCCTATGCAGTAACTTTTGTCTCAATGTTTTCAAACAGGCAACCTTGGTGTGCTTTCCCCCCCCCCCCCCATTCATTTGAATAAGGAGACTGTCTTTTTGAATTGGGAGGCAAACCAAAGACTTTCCTCCAAAAGGGAACTGAGCTGCTTTCCGGGCGGAGAGAAATGAGCTGGCAACTCACAAGCCATTTTTGCTTCTTTGTTTTTTCTGTTGTCTTATCCCAACATCCTTTCAAAAACAAACAAGCACATCCTTTCCAACAAATAAAATGAAAAAAAAAATGAAATAAGTAGACACAAATTAGGAAGGCCTATCTACACGCCTTTAATTATAAATGTGTTGCTTGTACCTTTGGGGAATTGATGTTGGCAGCTTAAAAATTGCATGTTTAGCTTTCAGAATGCCTTCTGCATATTGCAATAGGGGTTGGATATGACGTTATTAAGTCAGGGCTTGTGGTACTCTCCTCCAAAGTGTAGGCGGGCATTTTTTCCTACAATATTTTTCATAAATCTTGAAAGGCTATCGCCCAAACAGTGAACAACCCATTATAATAGAAGGACTGGCTAATGCATAATAAAAATAATAAAAAAAACAGAGTGACGATGTGCTAATGATATCCTGAGAGATTATTCTATTTTCCTAGTTTGGTCTCACTAGGTTCAGTGGTGTCATGTGGGAAATATGTCAGGATAGCACATTACAGAAACTGGAAGGCAATTTGCTGGTTCCAGAGCCATTGTCAGAGCCAGTAATCAGGGTGCTGGTGGCACACAGTATGTTTTTCACTGTTTTGTACTACCAATCCCTGATTACTTGCCCTGGCAATGGCCTGGGAACCAGCAAATTGCCTTGCTGTTTTTTGTTCTGTTACTGGTTATTACACAGGCAATACATCTCTACATTTTGGTTTGTTTAATTTTTCACAACTTCCTTAGTTTCTCAGATATATTCACAGGCTGGATTTCCCATCTTCCCTCTCCATAGGTAACATGCTGCTGTGCTTGTCACCAGCCTGGCTCTCCAAGGTTCCATCAGAAACTCATCCCGGAGAGTCATCTTTATATGTACTGAAGGCTGTGACGTTTGAGCTTGGTGGTCGCACAGTGCTGGAAGAATTTTCTTCCCCACGTCGGGTCAGCTACTTCACAGGGAGCTTTGAGCCCTGCAAGTTGCAGGGCCAGTCAGCAGCAGAATTGGCCCGAGATCTTGATTGCCCCACGGGAGGTTCGGGAGAGTTGACTCGCCTTCTAGAGGACAAGTTGCTGACCCGGCAGCTCATGGATCAGAAGGGGGAAGTAGCTGTGCCCCCCACCCTGGCCTTCACCTTCAAGCGCCCAATGCTCCTGCGCAATGTGACAGAAGAGCAACGCATCCACATGGTTGAATTGAGTGGCCGGGAAGGACAAGACAACCTCCTGCAGGAGGAAATTACAGCCTTCTTGCAAGGTGGTGCAATGGAGTCCTACAAACAGGTAAGAGTTGCTGAACTGAACTGAATTGAGGGGCTGCCACAAAGAAGAGAGGGTCAACCTATTTTCCAAAGCATCAGAAGGCAAGACAAGAAGCAATGAATGGAAATAATCAAGGAGAGAAACCAATCTAGAACTAAGGAGAAATTTCCTGACAATTAGAACAATTAATCAGTGGAACAACTTGCCTCCAGAAGCTGTGGGTGCTCCATCGTTGGAGATTTTAAAGAAATGATTGGACAGTCATTTTTCTGCAATGGTATAGGGTCTCCTGCTTGAGCAGGGGTTTGGTCTAGAAAGCCTCCAAGGTCCCTTCCAACTCTGTTATTCTGTTCTGTTGTTAGAAAGCAAGACAGATACCAGGTGAAGACAAGGGCATTATAGAGCAAGAGCACTGCAGTTCTTTCTATTCAGATGAGAACATAGCATGAGAGTTGGAAACAGAATACAGAATTTTGAGAAAAGAGCTGGGATGCTTAAGCCTTGCTGCTACAGGTATTATACTTCCACAGGTGGTGGTGAAGCCCTCAGGCTGGCGCTGCAATGGAGCCCAAGCTGTATCGTTTCATGACAAGTCAGAACATGGAAGCGTCCTGCAGGTTGTCCTTACCTTGCTGGAGACTCTAGAGGAAGACGAGAGCATTTTGCTGGAGCCTTTCATTCCTACTGCTCAAATCCTCCAATCTGGGCGTCTAGTTACAAACAACTCCCCAGGTAAGTTTGTCACAAAGCTAATTATCCTTCAGCTCAGTACCTGTAAAGCAGAGGTGTCAAACTCAATTTCACTGAGGGCCGCATCAGCATTGCAGTTGCCCTGGGGGGGCTGGGTGGGTGTGGCCAGAGTGGGTGCAGCCTACTGGGTGGGCGTGGATGGAGTGGGTGTGGCTACTGGGTGGGCGTGGCCAGTTCTACATCATTCGTGTCAAGGGTGCCTATGGGGGCCTGGGCAGGAGTGGGACAGATCTGAGAGTCTCTGGAAGAAGGGGATGGGACTGGGGCAAGAGCCAAGGCATGGTCCACCGGGGCAAGTGCCAAGATGGCCACCACAAAATTGTACATTGGCTCCCGGCTGGCCTGGGCCAGGCCCAAGGCAGCGGGGGTTGTTCCCTCACTGTTTCCAGAATGGCTTCGTGGGCCACATGAAACCACTTCGCGGGCCGCATCCAGCCCCTGGGCCTTGTGTTTGACATGTCTGCTGTAAAGTATAGTTTAATCTACCCTTCCAAGTCCCATACATGCTGGAATACAACTCCCAAACTACCTATAGCAACAATTGGGAATTCTAGGATTTGTAAATCCTTCATATCTAAAAGTACCAGCACAGTGAAGACTCAGTTATTCCATAAACTATTGTTTCTTCTACTTGCTTTGCTTCATTTTGTTAGCATCTCTTGTATGTACCAGGGCTTGAGCATTTTTGAAGATAAGCTTTGTTATGATGATTTGTGATGTAGTAGAACCTGCAAAGCTCACAATACTAGTAGTGATTGTAAGGTTACCATATTCAGATCCACAATTCTCCAAAATTACTTGACTAATAGTACTGCAGAGTAATATAAGCTTTTTATCAGACCTGTCTTGTTCTTTTCATTTTCCTCCATATATTCAGATCCTATTAATTTGTTTTTCTGATATCTTCCATTTCTCTTTCCTATTTTTCTTTCTGCTCTACATCTCCAGTTCCAGGCAACATATCTCTGCAGTCCAATCTGGCAATCCGAATTTGTGCTGTTGTATGCAGATCCCGAAAAGATCAGCCTCTGCTAAGCAAGGTAAAGGGGACTCTGTGCCCAACTGAAATTAAAAGAAAACAAGGAACGTATCACTGGTAGAAAAGCCACAGACCATAGAAGAGCCATATATAGCACAAGAGGTGATTAGTATATTCACAGCAATATTGGTGTCCCACTTTGTACTTTTCTATGGAACAGTGTAAAAATAATTGAGCTCACAATTATTGATGCTTACAGATACAGCAAACCTTTCATGCCAAAATAATGTCTCGTTAAGAAATAAGCTAAGTTACTATAATCAGTCATCAGATTGACAATTTTTACCCTCCTGCTGGGTAGAAATACTCTAATCTCTATAAATCAAACAGAACTGGAGACCTTTCTGTATTATACAGAAATAGTCATAATCCAATAAAGTGAACCCAACACTTAGGACTGTTCAAATGGAGATATTAATAAGACAAGTTGACAATAGTTCAAAAAGATCTTTTTTCGTATAGATTTTATTAGTTTTTATAGGGTTAGGAATAAGGTGGGGTCGGGGTTGGGATTTGGGTTAGGGTTAGGGTTAGGATTAGGGTTCGGGTTGGGATTGGGGTTTTTCCAAATAACATTCTCAATATTTAGCAAACAGCATAATGTCTGGGTTCATGTGTTTAACAAACAATAATAGATAATAGTTAATTATCATAAACAATATGTTAATTAATCACTCAATAGCCTTCTTCTTGCTAATATATATTCAAAATTCCATATCACATTCCTTTCTCTCTACCTCATTTTTCTAGCCATTGGTAGAAATTATCCCATGTTCTAAAGTACACTGAGTCTTCTTTCTCTTTTATCTTTAAAGTCAATCTATCCATTTCTGCACACTCTAGAATTTTCTTAATTAGTACTTCTTCATCTGGTAAATTTTCATTTTTTCAATGTTGGGCAAATATTAAATATCTGCAATCTTTCTTATAATTAGCTCCTATTATTCCTAACAAAAATAATTCTGGTTTAAAGTCTGTTTGTTTTTTAGTCATTTTTTCCAACCATAAATGTATTTTAACCCAAAATCTTTTTGCTTTAGGGAGTTCAAAAAGATCTTAAACCTTTTGGTTCTTTTCAGGTAATATGTGGTGTAGGTCCAGCAAATAAGCCACTGAAGCACCAGACCACAGTGCCTCAGACTCTGGAAAGAAGCCTACAGCACTGGGGCATAAAAGATGAGATCCAAATTGCTGCAATCCATGCCCAGATTAAGCAAAAAGCAGAGGCTGCCATGAAAGCCTTCATGGATATGGAGACTAGTCTATCAGTTGAGCAGAAAGGTGGTCACCAAGCACAAACTGACATTATTGGTAAGCTTGTAGCATCAGTCATTATATCTTATTGTTTATAAGATATTGTGGGGTACTGCAGTTTGATTGCACAATGAAACTGGGGCTGTCAGAGCAGCTGAACTGCACTTTTAGCAAAGCATGGGGCAGTAGTGTGAAGTGGCTTTACTGATTATAGTAACAGGACCAAATAGCATCCCACAGCATTAAAGAAATTCCTTTCCAGGTTCTCTGTTCTAGAAATAGGCTTGCACAATGTCTATTTTTATGTTTATGTTAGCAGCTGCTTGCCTGATAGTGAGACTACAAGTCTCTAATAAAAAAAGAACTGCAGGATATTTCATTTATTTTAAACATTGCTGCTGCCTGCCTTCTTGGAATAGAGGCAAATTAGGGTCTTCAAACCACACTGTATTGATTTGGATTAGTTTATTTTTTGAGTATGTCAATTGATTCCAGCCTCTGAGGGTGTAGTTGAGCAGTAGGTTCTGGTGCAATTTTTCCCTTAAAAACAACCAATTAAGAAAAAGAACCAAACTTGGTTGCCACCAGTGAATTAAACTTGATATCACTATCTCACTTTATCTGAAATTCACAAGTCTGATTTTTCATGCTAAATTATCTATTTTTCATTATACTACTATGTGCTGAGCAAACTTGTCCCAGCCTCCTTACTCATTATTGACATCTTCTTTGCCTCACATAACTTCAACTATCACTTGATAACAAAAATAGGGGAACAGAAACACACCCTTGGTTTGCTATTTTTTTCATTGTTCACCTCCCCCCCACAATAGCATGACTGATGTGACTGCTTATGGTGAAAGAGAATTAGTTATGAGAGGCTTGGAATATGAGTCAGGGCATTTTTTTGTAGAGCTGGATATTGGGGAACCGTGTTTCCCCCAAAATAAGACATGGTCGAATATTTTTTTGCCTCCAAAAGAGGCATTAGGTCTTATTTTGGGGGAATGTTTTTTCCACTGTCTTCCCACACTCCAGTGGCACTGACAGCCCCATCCAGCATGAGCCTGCGTGGCTGCCACTGGCTCACTTCTTCTGTGGCTGCTCACCACAGAAAAGGCCTCTGCCAGCGAAACAGAGGCCGGAGGGCGACGTGCGCTTCATCCCGGAGCTCCCTCCTGGGCTGCAGAGGCCTTTTTTGAAGGCCTCTGCCAACAAAATGGAGGCCGGGGGCTACGCGCATGAGCGGCGGCAAGTGGCTACAGAAGAATTTGGCTGCCGGCGGCCATGCGGGTTCCTCCTGGATGGGGCTGTTGGTGCCGCCGCCGCGAAGCAAGGCAGGTGTCGGGGCATGAGAGGCCTGGCTGTGGGGGCCCTGAGGTAAGTGGTTGCGGGGCGCATGGGGCAGCTCCACCCCCCAGCCCAGCTCTAGCTTGATTTTTATGTCTGCACCTCGCCCCATCTCGGGCAACCAGAAGGTGTGATGGAGTGGGCAGGGTCTTAACTAGGGCTTATTTTTGGGGGGTAGCTCTTATTTTTGGGGAAACACAGTAGGAGGGAAATAGGAATGAAAGAAGTGAAAGAACTGAAAGTAAAATATATTGGGGGTTTTTAGTATGTTAATAATTAATATTTTAAGATATTTTATAAATTGGTGTTATTTGTTTAAACTTTGAGATGTTTGTATCTAATAGAAAGTTGGAGATCATTATTGTTGTATTAGTTTGATACACAATTTTTGTCACTTTTAATTTGTTATGTTATTCCCCTTCCCTTTTTCTTTTATGATAATTTGTATTATAATAGTTGATGTTGAAATTTAATAAAGATACTATTAAAAAAAGAAATGAAATTAAAAGTAGAATGACTTGTTGATGATCTCTGGCAGGGCCAAGGAGGGAATGTCCTAGTTTTTCCTTGATCCATCAGCAGCTTTTAATGCCATCATGGTATCCTTCGGTGAGGATTAGGAGTGAGAGAAAATGGTTCTCCCACTCCTAAATGGTTTTCCTCCTTTCTCTGTGGTTGATTCCAGTTGGCAGTGAAGGGTGAGGAAGAGATCAATCTCAAGATCATTGAAAGGGGAAGTGCTTCAGATCTCAATACTCTCACTCCCCTTTTTAATAGCTACATGAGGCTGCTTGATAAGGTCACCCATTAATTTGCAGTTGGATATCTTCAGTATGCTGACGATACCCACTTATATATCCTGACCCCAAGCTGACCAGGTGATCCTGGGATGTCTCAGTGTCTGGAGGAAGCACAGATCTGGATAGAGAGGAACAGAAGCTAACCCTGACAAGAATGACTGGCTGTGGGTATTTGGACCATTCAGGTCTCAAAATGGTCCATTTTAAATCCTAAATAGAGCTGTACTTCCCCCTTCAGGACAACTGTATAATTTGAGGGTCTCCTTGCACTCACAGCTCCTTGCTGAAAGACCAGATGGCAGCCATGATCAGGAATGCCTTTGCTCTAATTCATTTTGTGTGCCAGTTGAGTTCATTCCTACACTGGGAGGTTCTAAGGAAAGTTACCCATACTTTGGTCACCTCATGTTTGGATTATTGCAATGCCCTATACAGGAGGCTGCCCTTGTAGACCAATGAGAAGCTGCAGCTAGTCCAGAATGCAGCATTTTGGCAATTATGGACATGCCTTGGTGAGTGATTAGGCAGAGTCACCATGCTCTAGGTTCCATTGATTGAACATTGTCACCTGATGGGGCCCAGCAAGCAAGCATTCTTTGTCATAGTGCCTATCCTCTAGAGCAGTGTTTCTCACCGTTGGAAATTTTAAGATATGTGGACTTCAACTTCCAGAATTCCCTATCCAGCATTCTGCTGCACCAGAGGGATGCCTTTGTTCCTTTACTCTTGTGTTAGGGACTATATCTAGGATCAAAGATGGCCTTTGTGGCCATTCTATGGGTGTTCATCAAGGCCTTGTTAAAAATGTTCACTTTTCTTTGGCATCTTCTTTTCACAGGGGTGGATTTTCTTCTGAGCTCAAAGGACCAGGTGTTGCAATTGGTAGCCCTGGAGATGAACTCACAGTTGTGCCTGGAGACTTGCTCAGCCCTTGAATTCATGGGCCGGATGGTGGGGGTCCCAGGAGGCGAGACAGCATGCGCCTTGGTGGAGACAATGCTGCGTCGTGCACAGTGCCACCTGATGGAGGGCAAGCATGTGCTAGTGATTGGGGCCGGCGGATTCAGCAAAAAGTTCGTCTGGGAGGCTGCCAGGGACTACGGGCTAAAAGTAAGATGCGGAAACACAGACTTGTGCAGCCCTTCCAAGCTGCAGGATGGACTAGCTAGAGCAGCACCACCCCACAGTCCCTATCTGTATCCCATCAATGTCATGGGCATCACCTAAACAGAGAGGGGAGTAAACCACGTTACCCATCAGAAGGGCTTGCTCTTTGCCCGTAAAGCTGAGGAGTTGGCCTGTCCCATTTCCAGCCTTGCCATCTCTCAGGAGTACTTCAAGTGGGGCATTGGAGGGCCCAATCCAGAAGCAAGGTCCTGTTGGAAGAGTCACTGGGGATGGAAACAAGTTCTGCGGACTTCAGAGCTGCCTTCCACCACTTCCTGTCTCCATGTAATAATGTTAGGATGCAAATATGGGGCAGGACAAATGAGCTAGCTGTGGAGATTGTGTATTCCCACTTTTCTCAAGAACCATCCACTCCCATTGTTATTTTGGGATGGTTCCTAGTCTTCAGTAGCAGCATAAGAGGCAAAAACTGAAACTTTTTTTCATCACTGAGAATTCCCAGAATATCAGGCAGGCCTGCCCCCCCCCCATCTTTCCAAATATCTTTTTCCTGATTTTTCCAAATTCAGGATATAAGTACTGTTCCCTACAGTCTTATCAGACACTGGTGCTTTCCACCCTTAGAAGAGGTAGAAATGCAGTACAGTACTGTTACTATTTCAAGAAGAAGCCATCTTGGGTTTGCTAGTCTCAAGGCCCTATTTCTGAGGCCTACTTATCACTTGTGCAACTGCCTGTTTAGAACCAGAAAGAAGGCCCCTCCAAATAAGTTGGATGTTGTATGGAAATTAGATGAGGGGATGTATAAAATAGGTCGGGGTGGGAAGATGACTGGAATGAAATGAAAACTAACTGCAAGTGTAGAAGGATACAGACAACTCAGCCAGAGTCCAGATTTAGTTTCCGAAAGCTCATTCTATTGTCCCTGAAGGTTTCAAGTGCTTTAGTGTCCGCTTATTCCTCTGCGACTGAAGGATGAATTTGCCCCTCTTGGAGCCTTGATCCATTCTCCAGTTCAGACCCTGAATTGAGCACAATGGGTACATGTGTCACAGTCTTATATCTACAACTGCAGCCTTCAAAGTGGGATGGTCTATATCCTATGCTTTATCCAAGTTCCTCCTGGAAAAATGGCTTGGCTCTGAAGTTATCTAAAGGCTTAACAGCCTCCAGGTCCCTGGAGTTCACTGATAAAAAAAACACCTGCAGTGAAAGAAATAATGTTGACCCATCCCCACACCCTTGCTCTTAACTCACAAAACCTAGTGCTGGTACTTCCCTGATCTAGTCAGAGTCTAGTAAAGAGTGGAAAATGAAAATGTGGTTCCCTTGTTCACACAGCCCTTCCCACGCAAGCAACAGGGTCATCTTTGATTTCTCAAGACTGTGAACGCTTTTTAGCCAGCCTGCCTACCAACATGGGTATTGCCTCAGCATTAATTCCTCCTCCCAAACTTAGAGGACAATGGAGCTCTTCCTTCTAAACCCTGCTGCTGCAGAAACGGGGATCTAGAGAAAGCTCAGAAAGCTCAACCAGCTTGATGGAATGGAATGGTCAGTTCATTGGGGAAGCAGCTGCCTATTGATAGTGCCTTCTTCTTAAGGGATTACTGTATGGTCCCTGACCCCAAGGAATTGGCTTTCTCTGATACTGCCTATAGTGATGCATCTCTGATTTTCCCCCCCTCCTTCTCTGCATCTCTGCCTTTCCCACTTCCCCACCCTGTTTCTACTCCCTTTTCCTTCTCTTTTTCTCTCATCTTTCCCATCCCCAGATCCACCTGGTGGAGACCGATCCCAACCATTTTGCCTCCCAACTGGTGCACACCTTCATCCACTATGACACCACAGACCATACGAGGGATGAAGAGCATGCCCGGAAACTGCTGGGGCTTATTCAGGAGAGGGGCCTGCATCTGGATGGCTGCCTGTCCTACTGGGATGACTGCATGGTCCTGACAGCGCTGATATGTGAAGGACTGGGTCTGCGTTGCAGCTCCTCAAATGCCATGCGAGTGGCCAAGCAGAAAAGCCGCACTCACCAGCACTTATTGCGGCGGTGCAAGGAGGGGTCCCGCTGGTCCTCTGCAGCACTCTATGCTGTGCCATGCTGTCACCTGGAGAGCCATGCTGATGTGGAGCGTGCTGCCAGCCACATTAATTTCCCAGGTGTCATGAAGCTTGAGTATGGGGCCGGAGCAGTAGGGGTAAAGCTGGTGGAAGATGCCCAGCAATGTCATCTGCACTTTGACAAGATCACACAAGATCTGAAGGACGACTCGGATTATTTCGGCATTGGGTTGGGTTGGGGCAATAACATGCTATTGATGGAATATGTCTCAGGCACTGAGCATGACGTGGATCTGGTGATATATGAGGGACGGATGCTAGGGGCATTTGTGTCTGATAATGGGCCCACCAGGGTGCCCAACTTTACAGAAACGGCAGCCTGCATGCCCACCTGCCTGCCCCCTGAGAGTGAAGCACAACTTATCCATGCTGCTTATCAGTGCTGTTTAGGTTGTGGTCTCACTGATGGTGTCTTCAATGTGGAGCTCAAGTTGACAGCTGCAGGCCCCAAACTTATTGAAATCAATCCTCGCATGGGTGGCTTCTACCTCCGTGACTGGATTCGGGAGATCTATGGAGTAGACATCATGCTAGCTTCTGTCATGGTTGCCTGTGGAGTGGCCCCAGTCCTGCCCACACCCTCCCATCCCCGTACAAAGCTTGTGGGAGTGATGTGCTTAGTGTCACAGCATCTTCAGGCTCTCAAATCCACAGCTAGCCTAGAGATACTTCAGGCCCTACATGAGCGTGGTGTCATCCGCCTCAACTTGCTTGAAGATGAGATCGTGTCTAAAGAATATGAGGAGCCTTATTGCAATGTGGCTTGTGCCAGTTCTAGTCGCCATGAGGCCTGTGTCAAGCTACTAGGCATCTGCCAGGTGCTGGGCATTGACTCCCTGCATTACCCTGTTGCTTACTTCCTTTCTCACTTCAAATAGCCTTGGAGATTCAGCTCCCTCAGGTTGGAGCTGAACTTGCATGTGTGTGAGAAAGAGAGTGAGTGTGTATGAGAGAGAAACTTGTCTATTCCTTCTAAATTATCCTCTCCTTATTCCTAAGTTATCACCACTGGAGTTTGCATTACACAAACTTCCTACTTATTAGTCTCTTTGGAGCCATCTCTGGGAAGTGCTCACCCTTTGAAAGGGCTCACTTCTTTTAGGAAAGGATTTTAATAACTGAAATCCTCCCCTTCTTTCTACCCTCTGTGTGAGGCAATTTTCTTCTATTTTATTTGTACTTGATTAATCTTCCTGGTCCCAGCCCTTGGTTTCCAAATTACTCATGCTCCTGACCATAGATAAAGTGAAGTTCCAGGCTCTTCACTTTTCTCTTTCTTCCATCGAAAAAGGGGAAGTTCTTTTCAGATAGCCCCGGAGAGAACCTATCGCATACTTCCAGAATCAATGGAAGAGAAAGCTTGGGTCAAATCTTTAGAGGCTGTACCATCCAATATTTCACCAGCAACATACTACAATGAACGAGTAAGTGATATTTCTGAAAGCACAGGTTTTTTTTCCTGAAAGGAACTGTTGTATGCAAACTCCATCCATATACAGGTGAGCATCTAAAAACCAAACCAACCTACTCAAAAAAAAAAAAGGATCATGTGCAAACATACAGTAACAGATGTTTAGCAATAGTATGTAAGATTCAACAAGATCTGCTGGCTCCACACTTGTAAACTTTGCAATTAATAGTTTAGTGCCTTCTGATCCTTTTTAGAAGCTAACAAGGACAACTCTGTTCTAATCAAATGACCATAAAATAGTAAGAGGGCAACAGAACATGCTGTGGTGAGTCTTCATATTCATAACTGATGCTGGGAAAACCTATTCTATATATTATTTGTGCTTGTAAGGGGTATAAACATCCCCTTACCTCTGTAATGTGCCAAGAATTCCACAAAAGAATATTACTATAACAATATTTCCAAGCACATGACAATAATCTATTATAATTGTAACATTTTCCAGTGAACGATTGCATCCCTAACTTCCAATAATCAACCTTTCAATGGAACTCTAATGACCTTAAGTTCCTACAATACCAAGCAGCCATAATGCTAGCATTATAGGGTTTCTGCAGTAACAAGCCATAATTTTGCTACCAAGCTGAATTGTGAACTCATTATGCTTTATGCATAATCCAAACATCCCCAAATATGTAATGTTCCTTTAGTACACTAATAATACACTTAAGCATACTTCTAACCAGAGTAAAGAACAATGTAAAAATAGTGTAAATCTGTGCAACTGAAAAGCATTTCTGTCTTTTTTCATGGTTTTTTTTTTACTACTTTCACAACAAATGGAAAACTCAGTTGGCAACTGAGAAAATATTGAGAACCTATAAAACTTAAAATAGCTAACAGCTTGATCCTATTTGGATCAAAGAATTGGGAATTGGGAGTTTTAAAGTAGTCAGAATTGGCTATCAGTGGGAGCATTAGTTAAGCATGTCCTCTTAACTGGTTGGTGACTCTACCTGCCTATTTTTCCATAACTTCTGTAATCAAGCAGGTATAATAGTTTCTCCCCAATAAAATGCCATGCAAAACTATCAAGACTCCTGTAGTGTTCTTTATAGCTGCACCACACCTCATTTCCCACTTAGAAGTGGACACATGAAAAGCTGGTGAAGACTCACCTACAAACTAATGAGTGGTGGGGGGAGAAGACTTCAATTATATAGAGATGACCTTCACAATCTTGTTAGTTTCAAAGAGACTTCCAGGTGACCTGTTTCCATAAACGAGACAGAATGTTCCAGATTTTGGATTGACCACCATCTACGAAAATCTAACATTGACTCCAAGTCTTCCTATCAGTTGTTCTCTTCCAACTCTACTGCCTTTGGCACTGACCTATATAGGAAATTTGATCTGGACTGGATTTTATCTCTTCCCCTCAGTCCCCAAAAGGAAGAACAGTTCTTCCTTTTTGAATCTTTGTCTTACCTGTTCTGCATGTTCAGGCAGATGCATCTGTTTCAACTATTCATGACAGGACTGAATTACAGGCAAGGTATTCTGTAAGAAGCTAAAAGCAAACAGAAAATTGTCATTTATAAGCACCAATTTCAATTCTGACCTAAATAGACCTTAAGATTCAATCTTTTCAAATTTGGATGAAATATGACATTTTCAAGCCTTACCATCTGAAGCAAGCTTCATTCACAGGATCTATGCTAAATATTTCCCATTTCTTCTTATTGGTTCCACCAGAGTGTTTATTAATTCTGAAGATACAAATTGCATTATGAAGTAAATCAGGTTAGGTGACAAGGCAGATTGAAAGAAATTAGGCAAACTTTCTTAATTTGCATCAAGTTTTGTTCTCAAGGAAGAACTCCATGTTGCCAGGGATTTGTAAAATTTTGTCAGTGTCTGGGGTTGCTAAGTAGTGTGAGAAAAGCACTTGAGCAATGAGTTGTTGGAAGGCAATAGAATGGCAGTCTTAAACCAAAAAGGGATATGTTGGCACTGGGAATGGCTGTGGAGAAAAAAAGTAAGAGCCAAGCAATTTCTGTTTATTCATGAAAAATGACTGAACTTTACATCCTCAGTAATTTCCTCCAGAAATCTTTGGAAATTTAAACTGCATGGGGTCCTACAATACTCTTTCCAGAATGTCAGTCATTGGTTATTTGCTGAGATTGTGGGCAGAAACAGTGTTTACAAACTGGATGTCAAAATTTAACATATCTTGCCCTATTCTTTAGATGCCATGGGCCGCTATTCTGTATGGAGTCAAGCCATCGCCTACCTCATCATTGCTACACCAAGTAGCAATACTTTGGGTTTCAGGCAACATTCTGTTTCTGTACTGATGGGAGATGCCAGGGATTAAAACAGGAATCTTATGCATGCAAAGAAGACACATCACAATCATAGTCCTTTCCCAGATAGCATTTTTAGTTGCAAAATATGGCTCTGGGTCAATAAGTTCAGGGATGGTGAAATTAAATTCTCTCCATTCAGAGTCTGAAATCACATATAAGAGGAATAAGAAAAAAAAATAAACTGTTTCCTTGGGAGTTTTGCTGCTCTAGGGAATTATACAAAATGCTAAGTCAAAACTCCTTGGTGGCTTTGCATAAAACTTCAGTAACACTAACAAGAGCACTAACTTCTCTGATAGACCACCAGCGACCTCCTCTATCTACAAGGAAACCAAAAATAAAATAGCTCATGAGAACAAAGTTTAAGGATGATGGTATCAATTAAAGTAACAAAAACTCTATGGATCTAAAAAGATTAGCTGGGAACTAATTAGAACAACAAGATTGAAGAGGCCTTGAAGGTCTTCTCGAATCCCCTGCTTGAGCAGGAGACCTTACCATTCCAGACAAATGGTTGTGCAATATCTTCTTGAAAACCTCCACTGCTGGAGCACCCACAATTTCTGAAGACAAGCCATTCCACTGATTAATTGTTCTCACTGTCAGGAAATTTCTCCTTAGTTCTAGGTTGTATCTCTCTTTAATGATGTTCTACCCATTACTTCTTGTCCTGCCTTTAGATGTTTTGGAGAATACGTCAACCCCCTCTTCTCTGTGAGAGTCCTTCAAGTACTAGCAGGCCACTATCATGTTACCCCTAGTCCTTCTCTTCATTAGACTAGTCTATCAACCGTTCTGTCAACCATTCATCATACAGATTAGCCTTCAGCCCCTTATTATTTTTGTTGTTTCTCTCTGTACTCCTTCTAAGATCTCAGCATCTTTGTATCAAGGTTACCAGAACTGGACACAGTATTCCAGACGTGGTCTCACCAGGGCATTGTAAAGCAGCACTATCACTTCATGTGATCTTGATACTATCCCTCTGGTGATGCTGCAAGGGAAAATTCTGAATAAATAGTTATTCTTGGTTCATAATTTAGAAGCACCCAAGCAACAATCATTTGGTAAGCTGAAGCCTGAAGGAATACAGAATTCTTTCTATAAGAACTACTAGACTAGGATTTTTCAAACTGTGTTCTATGGAACCAGAGGTTGGAACTGAACTTCTCAAGGTTCCATGGGCTAAAGGCAATCCCACCCCCTTTTCTGCAATGGACTAAGGAGAAAAAAAGGTTTCTTTAAAATACAGTAGGAAGGGTGGGGCTTGTCTGCTGACATTCAAAAGGTCCACGTCTCTTGATCAGAAATTCTGGAATGGGAGTTTTTGTTTGCTTGTGTAACAAACAAGCTTTAATGCTTGAAAAAAAAATGAAACCCCTAACCAGATTTTAAAAAAAGACCCTATTACAAAACCTGTGATTGTAAGGCGCACTAACTAAAGAGTAAATTCTATTAAATTCAAGAAGACTTGGGTCCTTCCAGAGTTAGCAGTTTCAAGCATTACCCCATCAGCTGTAACTATAGTTTGGGTCATTTTCTGTTTGATGAGGTAAAGTAGTATGCATGTCATAAGAAAGGGGGAAATTCATAAGTATGTCATATGAAAACCATTTTCTCATATTTTAATCAATTGCTATATGTGCACAAATATGCACAAATGTGCATAAATGTGCACTTACAAACTTTATAAAGTATTTTATGGCACTGGAAAAAGATACTAAGGACCCTGTGACAAAATAAGATATTGTACATTGTGTTAGTTCTTCCATTCAAAATGTTACAGTATTGCAAAGCCATGCCTTTTCAAAAAACTGGGAGCATAATCTATCTAGTGAAGACCATATTATATTACCACCACACAGATACCCACGCACCATTTTTTTAAAAAGTAGGATTTTGTATAGCCTGAGAAAAGAAAAACAGAATTGAGAAGTTATAAGAAAATAAAGTCTGGATCATAGCGCCATGTGTGTGCCCTGTAAAAAGCTCCTGAATAAAGCATGTCTATTCTGAAAAAAAAAACATTTATTACAAAAGCATTCTTAAACAAAAAAAAAAAATAGTAAAAAGGCCTCATGAAAATGTTTTTCAGGTTTGTTTTAACCAACTATTCATTTCTTAACTTTATTTAAATTGAGAGGAAAAGAAAATAATTTCTTCTGCTGCTGCTACTACTACTAAATGAATGTATCACAATGTAATTGACAGGGTTCTGTTTCTTACCTATTTCTAAACAAGTACCAGTAGTCCTAACTCTAAGTGAAGATAATGTGACCACAATTGTGTTTGCGGTTTTACTTCAGCTTTCCTTTGCTTCTTGCTATTTCCTTCAGCTGAACTGGGGTTCTGTCTCTTGCTCTTTGAAGACATCTTGGTGTGGGGTAAATAAGCAAGTGAAAATAAGAGCAGATTATACGCGATGCCATATTAACTTGACTGTAATGACAGTCACTGTCCAAAGCGGTTTCTAAACGAGAACGACCTGTAGCATAACCTTGCATGCTAAAAAACATCCCCTCCTGTTGAGATAATAATTTGGTTCAGGATTTGCATTGAGTTACTCAAACATTTGCATCTATTTAAAGAACAAAATCCACGGGAGTCAACAGTACTTTTATGCTTTTCCTAGTGTTATCCTCATTCCCCAAGTTTTATTGCTTTTCACCATCCCTGATTTTTTTTATTAATTTAGCCATCAGAATTTTTTTGTTGTTGTATTACCAAAAGGGGAGAGAGGAATTAAAGGGCAAAGCTACAGCTGTGAGGGCTGAGGGGCAGGGGGACAAAAATGATTCAGGAACAGTGCTTCATATTACTCTTACATCTTTTTTGGCTCAAGTAGGTTGGACAATAAACTATACTTCTGATCTAAACATCAATTTTAAGAATTCTTTCTATCTCTTATTATTCTTACAGTATCTGTAATGGTCATTATGTGGCCCTGTTAGGATTGCAAATACTCCTCGCTTAACTATAGTAATTGAGATGGGAATTTCCATCACTGAGCAATGCAGTTGTAAAGGCTGATGTCTCATGACGATATTGCTTATGGATGGCAGCACCAGCACTTCCCATTGCTGTCATTAAGCAAGGATTGAAGGCCAATAAACAAGGACCTCCTCACCACTTCCTGCCAACTTCTGACAAGCAAAGTCAGCGGGGAAGCTGGCAAGAAGTTGCAAGTCCCATGAGGCTTGCAAACAGGTTGGCAGGCAAGTAAGTAGTTACTGCTGGGTGGGTATGCAAGTGGCCACTGCAGTGTGAGTTTCATAGGGCTAGAAATGAGGGCTGCTGGGTGAGGGAGGCCAGTGAGGTGCAGCGTGAGTACAGCAGAGCCAGTGATGGTAGCTGCCGGGTTGCAGAGACTTATTAGAGTGATTTGTACCCTTTCATGCCAGTTTCCCCAGTGGCTTTGCTTGTGGGAAGCCAGCAGGAAAGATTGATCATGTAAGCACAGGATGCTGCAACTGTCATAAGTGCAAGCTGGTTGCCAAGCACCCAGACTGCAATCACCTGACCATAGGGGCAATGGACAGCCAAACTTTGAGGACTCATTGTAAGTACCCCTTGTTCAGGACTATTGTAACTTTGATCTGTCCCTGAATGAGAGGCTATTAACTGAGGACTACCTGTAACAATTCACGAATTGATCCTCTTGGTTTTTTTTTTTAATTGTAACAGATGTTTAAGTTGCAGCAAAGAATCTTAAAAAAAAA